ACACCCATACAATGGCCTGTTGCACGAATACAACGATTCACGTGTCCCAATTTTCACCAAAATCGCTTGTGAGGGAGAAGGCATAGTATCTTCTTTCATGAACCTGAGGGAATAAAGTTGCACCTTTGAAGTGATTTTGTTTTAATGAAAGATATTCAGTGTTTTGTATCACGAGAAGTATCCAGAATATTAAATATTCGAAATTCACCTACCCGGTGACTGAATACGTCGAATGTAGGACGAAATATGGATCAGAATTATGAAAGTACTTAACAAACTCAAGTATATTCAAAAATGTTAAATACAATTGACCTATCAATCATATATCAATGACAGTTACTTGACAACTCTTGTTAGAGAGAATACATTGTGTACAAGAAGTCAAGCTGCCTACGCTACAGCCATATTTATGAGATCTGAAACATGCAATGGCGTGAATGTACAACTCGTACAAGCCAAGAGTAGAGTGTCTCCTGTTGAACGAATGACCATTCCCAAATTGGAATTACTAGCAGCTACCATAGGAGCAGGATTATCTAAAACTGTTACCGACAGCGTCGATTCCAATATCTTGGTTTATTATTAGTCTGATTCGACTACTGTGTTAGCTTGATCAAAGATGAAGAGAATTGGAAACCCTTCGTCTGGAATCGAGTGAGGGAAATTCGAAGCTTAACTAATCCAAAACCTGGTTTCATGTTCCAGGAGATCTCAATCCCGCCGATCTTTCATCTCGTGGCTGTTCTCTACGACAACTGATTCAATCATATATCAATGACAGTTACTTGTTAGAGGGAATACAATGTGTTCAAGAAATAGTATAACAAATTCAGAAAATGAACTATCTGCGACACAGAAAGAAGACAACCTTTTAAAAAAAATTGTTTAAAATCTGTTTTGCCGTTAACCAGCTGTCGCACTTCTACGAACGACAACCCTCAGAAGTCGAAACTTGTGCGAGCTAAGGATTAACGAGGTCTTACCGTTTAACGTGTGATTCTTAACACGGGTTGGACGATAGCAAGTGAAGATCGATCGTTCAGATTAGGGCTTGAACCACCGACAAACACGGCAGTCGATTCGAGTGAGTGAACAAAGCATCCACGCCGAACCGTTGGCTAGCGACCGACCAATTGATGGTGGTCAATTCGAAAAATAAATGGCCAAAATTATATGAATCGAATAGGGATAAAGAGTCAGAAGAGAGAAGATAGGAAGAAGGGGAAGAAATAGTCTTACGTAGGAGGACTTTGAAAAAACACAAATTCAAGCCTTACTGGACCAGAATAGTACATCAACACAGACCAGGATATTTTGAACGTCGCATGGCTTTTTGTCAGTGGTTCCTGGAAAGTTGTAACCAAGTGCGTGATTTTTGTTTAGATTGTACTTGGACAGACGAAGCTAATGTGAGCAATGCCGGCATTTTCAACCGCTACAATTTCTATACTTGGGAACAATAAAATCCTAATTTTATTGTGGATCAGAGAAGTCAAGGGAGATTTGGATTCAGTGTGTGAACAGGTGTCTTAAGGAGTAGAGTTATGGGCCTGTTCATTTATAATGACAATCTCACATCTCAGAGTTTTTCAGAAATTTTAAGGCAAAATATTGAACCCCTTGTTGATGACTTGCTACTGATAGAGTACAGAAAAATCCATTTTCAACAAGACAGGGTTTCGCCTCACAACACTGCAATTGTCATCAATGTTTTGGTTACAAATTTTGGTGATAATTAAATACCGTCGGCTGGCCAGGTCACCGCACCTAACGCCTATGGATTTTTATCTATGGGGAAGATTGTAAGATCTTATTTCTGAATTTCCGACCAATTCTAGATACGAATGGGAAGCGGCAATAATGCAAAGTTTTGATTCTCTCACTCCTATTATAGTAATCAATTCGGCAAAAAGCGTTCAGAAAAGGAGTAGCCTGTGTAATGGAAAAGCTGGTAGACATTTCGAATACCTTCCCTGGAGAAATTCATTCCATTTTTTTTCTGTATTATCATTACTATTATTGTTGAAGTTTCATTTATCAATAGTAAATATAGCATAAATTGTTAATAATTTTATTGAAACTATGCGTTTCAATTACTGTCGTGAAAAGCTTTCTCAACATTTGATAGCTACTACTGAACATTTTTTTCTTGTTTAATCGCCGCGTCCTTCAAAGCCTACTTGATCAAAGTGTGCGTTTCAAAGTCTACAGAAAAAAACCCAAAATGTCTGTATTTCAAAAATAACTCTAGCAAAACATCAAGTGCGCCTTATTTTTGAAACGGCTATTGAAATATGTAGGAATATACAGGGTGTCTCATTGAGAAAAAATAGTTTTTCATCAATAACAATTAATATATCATTTAGAAAAATGCGTTTTTTACACCATTGAATTCTACGTAAAAACTGCTCTAGAAATGTTATAATTGATAGGAAAAAAGTTGCAGCAACTTTTGAAAAACTCAGAAAGTTTCCAATTTGGCCCACTCTGTACACCAAAATAATTTCATTCATTCAGTGCCTTTAATTTCGATCGTAACAACGACAAAATTAGATGATTCTGAAACTTCAGATTCTTGAAGATGCATTCGAAAATTTTGAATGATATTCGGTATCAACTTGAGTAATAGATACGGGTATTGTCTTCCAGTTTCTCAAACATAGTATATATATTTTCTGATTGATTCGGCCGTTACTTGATGAAGATCCATAGTAATTTCACAAAATACATATCACGATTTGATCTCCACAAACTCTATTTGAGAAATATATCATGACAGTAGCTTTTTCACTATTGAAGAAACAAGTGTGTTAGCGAAACATGTGATATATTTCTCAAATAAAATTTGTGGATATCAAATATTCAGGTGTAGTTTGTGAAATAGTATATATATAATTTGCACTCCACATAAGCTCAGAGGTTTGATGTCACTTGATCCAAAAGGCCAATTAAGCGATTCGACAAGTGTCCGAAACGTTCATACAATAAAATCATACTTTCCGGGCCAAAGTCGATTGTCGATTGATTTCAAATTGTTCGTAAATGATGTCCTGGATTTGATCAACTCTTTGAGGGTTCAAGCTTTTGAGTTAGCTCTACAGACGTATTTCAAGCTATCAAAATACAAAAGGAAACAGCTTGAAAAATAGATACTTCCATGTAAAATTAGTTTGAAATACTTCATAATCAATATGTTCACAAAATTTAGACATTGATGTTGTTGTTTGGTTATATCACGTCTACAGCTTACTGCACAGACAACAAGAATTCAGAATGGTAGGCCAGGAGTCCTCACCTATTTCTGAAAACTTACGAATACACCCGTGAAAGCGCTACTGTTTAAATATTGTTTCCTTGAGTGTTATATTGACAACAGCATGTTCAACAGTTCAACATGTGAAGAAAAGAGAATTGAAACTTTTTATGGTTTTTACCACTTTTATTTGTAACTAACGTTACTACAGTTTAGTCCTATAAGTTTGGTTACCTCGTTCACAGGCAGATGGAGCGACGACAAACCTGATGTTTGTTGTAGTCTTCAGCTTAGTTCGAGGAATGATACTCTGACGGAATTCGATTTTCAATTATCGGAAATCATCGACTTTATGTTGATGATATACACTACCTTGCACTGACGAGTGGCCAAACAGCCCGAAACCGGTCTGCAAGTGTGTTCCAATAATTGAAAATCTATTGCGGCAGTTGTATCGCCAACAGCATATGCAGGAATAACTTCAGTGAAGAATCCTGCACTAGGGTGTTGAGACTGGCCTGAACGAATTGTTCTTTTAGATGATTTGTTTTAGTCCTATAAGGATATTTTTAAATTCATACATTAAACTAGTTTAATGCAGTAACGTTAGTTACAAATGAAAGTGGTAAAAAACATAAAAAGTTTCAATTCTCTTTTCTTCATTATGATTTCCTACCACGTAGTAACGGCTACATCCATCAATTTATAGTTTAACATGTGATTTGGTTCAGACTATTTTTCGATCATCTCCCCAAACATTTACTGTCTTGTTTTGGTCTATTATTCGGTTTTTATGTTAACCTTGAGTGTTAATATAATAACGATTACGTTCCCGTGGTGAAACAAAGGAAGTTTTGTTTTCAAAACTATACCGATACAAATAGTGAAAGACATCACTTTCCTGGGAACGAGCCGGATATGCATCAAGCTTGGATAAATAGAATAAAACTTCTTTACGAAAACTGTCTGTTCAGCAGCAGATTCATAACAAATATGTTGTTTGCGAGCAATATCTTTCTCAAGACTGTTCAGTGGTGGAAATCAAAAGAGGCATGAAAAGTGCTGCTATAATATTGTAAAATCATTCTTATTGAAATAATGCATATATAGACAAGGAGATTTGAATGGATGTTATGTGAAATATTCTCACTGGAATTTCGGAGCAAATTTCCAAATTAACATCGTTTATGATGTTTAAGTGAGTTTCATTCAATATTTGATCAGAAAATGCCTTTCAAAAGTTTTTATTTTCTTCCAAACGTCGTAACTGGGAAGACAAACTTACAAAAAATGAAAATGAATCAAACTCAATGGATAATTTGAACATTAATTTTTGATGAAATGTTTGATAAAAATAACATATGTATCCTAACAAAAATAACACACAAATCTCATCATCAAAATTGATCTCAAGTGAATAACTATATACTGTTTTCTCATTCATACTCTTCTGGTTAGACGATTTCTATTCTGAATTCAAAACTTTCATTTCATCAAATTTGTGTTCCGATTCGACCAGATCAGAATACAGGAATTTGTATTCAATCGTATGCCACTTTTAAGTTATTCTACTGGATGACTTTCTAGAATTTGTCTCAATATAAATTTTGATATGGCTTTATTGCGTTTTCCGCCTTACTATTTGTCAAAAAAATAATGTTGTATACCTGGCATAGATTTTTTGTTCGAAAGCAAATTTGACTGAAAATCCTGTTTCTACTATTATTGTTATGTTCTCTTTCAGATTTGGAATGGCTCATCATAGGATATCCTACGTTAATCCACAAAGCGACAATTACTACATGAGAAGACCAAACAAGAAAACCGACTACAAAGTGTTTCACCAAATCCCGTCGTCTTCAATGTTGTTAACTAGTTATGATCCTTTTTACAGTCCTCTGCTCTCCCGATTGGACGCTGTGTTCCAGCAATTGGGACTCGGGGACGACAAATCCCCGGAAAAAGAGAGGTGTAGAGAGAGGCTGGTGTGTTTGATGTATGCTAATCCCGCCAAGTACGCGCCCTACAGCAATCTTGTATCGGCACAGCTCAGCAGGTAAATGAAATTGATTGATGTGTCTTGTTTGATTATCGGATCGGAGTTAGACTTGGGGAAACTGTTGTGAATGATCGGGAATACGTAATGGAATATATTATGTGTTGATATTTCATAGGGAATTTATACAGTGCATTCCATTTAAAACGAGCCATCATGAATAACTTTTGGTACAATGATTTGCAGGAAAAATGAAAAAACGCGTCAACTATAGTATACACGGGAACACATTTTGACATATTCATATTTGATGTTACTTTCCCTATCGTACCTCCAGAGCATGTCACTAATTTTGGATCACCCTGTATTGTTTCGCATTATCAGGTACTACATGATGAGCAGATTCCATCAAAGTATAAAACATATGGTCTGAAGCTTATTGTTCGGGAGCTACAAATCATTTGATTTGAAAACGAATCAACCTGAATAACTTTTGAAACAATGATTTTCAGGAAAAATAAGAAAACACCTCAACAATGATATAGAGGGGGACACATTTTGAGTTATTCACATTTGATCTAACTTTCCAATCGCACGCCCAGAGCATGTCATCATTTTTTCAATGAATCAATAATTGTTTTGCATTATCAGATGTTCCATGAACAGATTTCATCAAAGTAGAATACATTATGGTCTGAAGCTCATAGTTTGGAAAGTAAAAATTATTTGAGTTGAAAACAAGCCAATTTGAATACACTTCTGTACAATCTATTACATAGGTTTCATAGGTGTTTTTGTGAAGTATACTCCAAAAAAGTCTTATTTTGCCTAGTTAAGTTTGAATTCGATTTTCTCTTCATTTTGTATTTGTCTCATTCTACAATAACGATTACCTACCAGGTGAGATTACAATTGCTGTTTCTGTTTTTGTAAATCCTTGAGAAGCAATGTTATATACGCTTCGAGAACGGATTGAAATAATGAGTTCGTACTACCAGACTGGAAATGGTGCTAGAGCTATTGCCCGTATGTTCAATGATAATCAACCAGGAAGGAATGTAAAACACAAGTACGTTTCGTAATTATTGAACACATTTATGGAAACTGCATCTGTTAACAATAAAAAGCATAACCGTTGAGGGAGTTGTCAACCACGAAGCTATTTGTACTGCAGTTTTAGGACACGTTGGAGTAATAGAAAATTCGTAATCAGTATCTCCTACTGTAATCTGATACTAAGTTATCTCGAGAATCAGAAATCAGTCATACTTTAACGAATTTGAAGCCGGCCCTGACCGATATCTCAGCCAACGAATAAACAATGACTCATTGCGAAAGGAATGCACTCGACAAGCCACCGCGAATAATCTAGGCCAGTGCCAAAACCCCTAGAGAGATCCGTAGCGTTCGTTGACGATATAAAAAGGCCGCTCTCCGTCCCGAGCGGCAGTAAGTCAGTCAGTCGGAGTCTGTATCTAGAAAGCGAATCGAGTGTTAACAAACAGTGAAGATAAATTAAGCGTTAGTTGCTGAGTGGTGTATATAAATTAGTTGTGATAGTAAAGTATTGTTAAAAATAAATTTGTTTGAGACAGTTAATTCTTTAATTCGTTACAATTCGTGATCAGAAGTGGATTTTTAGAATAAATTCGTGAGAGCTTGGTGAACAATCTTTGTATTACGGTGAAATTGACTATACAATTTTCGCGAAGAGAGACTGGTGATTCATTGTGTTTCGCGAAGTAGACAGTACCGGACTACGGAAACATAAACTGATAGACCTTTCTAGCGAAAAATAGACTTGTGAAAATAAATAAGTGTTTCAGACTCCATTAAATAAGTGGACATATTCAGTTTTGTGGAAAATAGACAGAAAGAGACAAAATGTGTTCAAGGAAAGTGCGCCTAGTGAACTTGAAAGTTTCTGATAATACGAAGAGTTTGGAAGACAAGCTTCTGGAAAATTTGAAAGTTCGGAAGACAAGTTTCGCGAAAATTCGGTGAGTTTGAAAGATGAACTTCAACAAAATTCGAAGTGCCTGGAGGAGAAGCTTCTAGAAAATGCAGAAGGCTTGAACAAAAAACTTTGTGGTGTGGCAAGTCTACTCGAAGAAAGAATAGGTACCATCGAGACAGAGATAGAAAAAATCAGAGAGGAAATCAAAGGGGAGATCAAAGATGAAATCGGGGAGAAATCAAGAGAATGAAAAAAAAATCATGTGATGAAATCAAAGGCGGATTTAAGGCAGAAACCACAGAAACGGTTACCGAAAACTCAATTCCGAAACTGAAAGATGTCAAAGTCAATTCTGAACCAGGAAAGCTCTCCATGAAGCCGCCCCAGTTCAACGGAAAAACTCCCTGTGAAAATTACCGCCGACAATTCGAAGCTGCAGCCAGAGCAAATGGATGGAATGCAGAAGAAAAGGCGGTAGCATTAACATTGGCGTTGCTTGGAGAAGCAACGAATATTTTGCAAACCCTCACGGCCCAAGAGCAGGAAGACTATGACCAACTTATAAAACATTTTGAACTACGGTATGGACAGGCACACCTAGAACAAGTTCACCATTCACAGCTGAAGAACCACTGCCAGAAATCAGGAGAATCCCTACAGGAGTTTGAAGCCGATATAGCTCGATTGATTCGTCTAGCATATCCCGCTACACCGGAAAATATAATGGATCGGTTAGCAGTTCAGGCATTCTTGGACGGACTTCGCGACCAAGAAACAAGGCAGGCCTTGACACTAGCTAATTCCAAACATCTCGTGGATGCACTGTCAAGCGCTCTGGAGTTTGAGGCTGCAAAACAATCCTGCAAGAGCCAGAGCAAAGTTCGAGTTATCGAGGAAGATGGACAAGTGCCTGCTGATATTGAGGCCACCATCAGAAAAGTAATAAAACACGTGTTGCCTGAGAGGAAACAAATAAGATGCTGGAACTGTGGGAGAATTGGACATGTGCGTAGCAAATATCCAGCTTTCAAAGAATCGACACCAAATCAGGAAAACTAAAGGGGGTCGATGAGAAGGGGCAATCGACGGCCTGTACCCAGCAAGCCCCCGTAAAAAACGCATATGTTGCCGTTCTCCAACGACAAGACAAAAGTGTTTTCGTAGACGGCCTCATCAACAACGAGTCTTGCACCATGCTGCTAGATATAGGTGCGACGAGAACCATTCTTGGGCCAACCTTTGCCAAAACACCGGCAAGAATTGAACCATGAAGCTGGAAGCTACGCCCCGCTACAGGGGAGCCAGCCACTGTACTTGGAGAACTACCAATTGAATTGGTGTTGAGCAGCACTAAATTGAAACACCGTGCATTGGTGGCGGACATAGATGACGACGCGATCATTGGAATGGACATTAATTCCAGAGGTTTCGAGCTGAATTTTCATGACGGCGTCCTACATGTTGGCGGAGAAGAGCTGGAGCTTTATGGAAGAAGCGAAGAGACGATCAGGGTCCTGTTGGCTGATGACGTGTGCGTACCTGAAAGGGCTGAAACCATCCTGGAGGCTCGCTTGGACGGAAGTGCGAGCAGCGGCAAAGTGGTAATGTTTGAACCCAAGATACACGATGAGAAAATTGGACGAGGAATCGCACTGGGGAAGACCCTGTTGCGTGTTGATGAAGTTGTGCCGGTAAGGGTCATGAATGTCAACTACTTTCCCGTGACCTTGAAGAAAGGAACAATGCTGGGGCACTGTTCGCAGTTCTGTTCTGTTAGCCAAGCCAACAACGTGACCAAAGAGTTGGAGAAGTTGATTGGCATTTCCTTCAAGGACATACCACCAACTCACCGGTCAAAACTGAGGGAGTTAGTTAAAAAGTACCAGGAAATCTTCGACATTGGAAAAGGAAAAGGCGGCAGAACGAATGTGGTTCAGCATAGAATCGACACTAGGAATGCCCGACCAATCCGGCAATCAGCTAGAAGACTGCCTCGGCCAAGAAAGAAGAGGCGGACAAGATAGTCAGCGACATGGAAAAAGAAGGAGTCATCGAACCTTCTGACAGCCCGTGGTCTTCCCCAGTCGTATTAGTGAAGAAGAAGGACGGCCCGACAAAATTCTGCGTGGATTATCGCCAGCTAAATAACGTGACGAAGAAAGACAGCTACCCTCTTTCAAGAATCGACGATACCCTAGACATGCTAGCCGGTTCCACGATTTTCTCGACTTTCGATTTGAAGAGTGGATATTGGCAAGTGGAATTGGCCCCAGAAGTTCGAGAAAAGACAGCTTTCACCATCGAGTCAGGGTTGTGGCAGTTCACGGTTATGCGATTCGGGCATTGTATTGCTCCAGCGACCTTCGAGAGATTGATGGAGATGGTTCTCAAGGGGCTCTCATGAAAGACGTCTCTAGTGTATCTCGACGATATAATCGTGGTCGCAGAATCGTTCGACGATCACTTGAAAAATCTGGAGGAGGTATTCATGCGTCTGAGGAGTTCTGGATTGAAACGAAGGAGTGGCGGTAGACGAACAAAAGAATAAAGCAGTTAAGGATTGGTCGATTCCAAAAGACATACACCAGCTTCGGAGCTTCCTTGGTTTGTGCACCTACTACCGTAGATATGTACTGGGGTTTGCCAACATCGCCAAACCATTGACCCGACTTACAGTAGGACAGATCCAGTTTCAGTGGTCTGAGGAATGCCAAGACTCATTCAAGAAGTTGAAAAGCGCTTTGATCAACGCTCCTGTTTTGAGCTATACCTTATCGGACGGAAATTTCATTTTAGATACGGACGCTAGCAACGTGGGATTTGGAGCAGTTCTTTCTCAGATCCAGGATGGACAGGAGAAAGTTATTGGCTACTTCAGCAAAATGCTCAGTTAACCACAGCGCAATTACTGTGTCACAAGGCGAGAGTTGTTGGCCGTTGTCAAAGGTGTAGAACATTTCTACAAATACGTGTATGGAAGAAGATTTCTGTTGAGAACGGACCATGCAGCTCTCAAATGGCTTCTGCAGTTCAAAAATCCCGAGGGCCAAGTAGCGCGCTGGATTGAGAGACTACAAGAATTCGACTTCGAAATAGAACATTG